TTTTTCTAAAAACTTAATTTTAATCTATTTTTATCTAAAAACACCTAAAAAAGACCCTTATTACCTCAAAAAATCTATTCATTAACTTAAAAAAATACAAAATAAATTAAAAACATATAGTTAATTTAAATTTTTTTTATCTCTCTAACCACTTAAAAACATTTTAATAATGCTTTTCTTATCAAGAGAAACATATTGTTATAAAATTTAACCATTATTTTTAATAAAATTCAACCAACTAATCGCTGGTTTTCCTTTTATGTTTTTATATGTTTTTCTTTCTCTTTCAAACTCTTATTATCAAATGTAAATAAAATTCTATTATGTGTTAGAAAGGAAATTTGAAAAAAAAAAGTCACATGTTTTTTTCTTTAATTTTGACTTTCATTCTTATTTTTTTTCCAAATAATAAAATCAGATTCGTTTCCATAAAATTTAATGAACTTTTAGGCAATAATGTTGTACAAAGTCAATAATGACGTGCTATAATCGTATGACACGACAAAAGGACGACATGAACACCATCCATTGGTATTCATGTGCCTTTTCACCTTGTAAAATAACAGTAGAAAGATACCTACCAGGGGCAAATTCATCTATGCCACGTGCCTACAAGTTGAAGATATGTTTGGCATGCAACGTAAAATATATATATTTTTTTAAGTATATTAAATTTTTTTTATCTCTCTAACCACTTAAAAACATTTTAATAATGCTTTTCTTATCAAGAGAAACATATTGTTATAAAATTTAACCATTATTTTTAATAAAATTCAACCAACTAATCGCTGGTTTTCCTTTTATGTTTTTATATGTTTTTCTTTCTCTTTCAAACTCTTATTATCAAATGTAAATAAAATTCTATTATGTGTTAGAAAGGAAATTTGAAAAAAAAAAGGAAATTTGAAAAAAAAAGTCACATGTTTTTTTCTTTAATTTTGACTTTCATTCTTATTTTTTTTCCAAATAATAAAATCAGATTCGTTTCCATAAAATTTAATGAACTTTTAGGCAATAATGTTGTACAAAGTCAATAATGACGTGCTATAATCGTATGACACGACAAAAGGACGACATGAACACCATCCATTGGTATTCATGTGCCTTTTCACCTTGTAAAATAACAGTAGAAAGATACCTACCAGGGGCAAATTCATCTATGCCACGTGCCTACAAGTTGAAGATATGTTTGGCATGCAACGTAAAATATATATATTTTTTTAAGTATAATTTTTTTTTAATTTTCAATATTAGTACATTAAAAATATAAAAAACATTAAAAATAAATATTAATTTAATAATTTTTCAACCAAATATACTATTAAAACACTGTAAAAAGCTATCCACGTACTGTTCGGGTGGTTCCGTGAACTTTCCTGAATAATAAAAGTTCGGAAGACCCCACACAACCTATCGAAGTTTAAATACTAGTCTAGAGCCCCGTTTTACACTCTTCAAGCTTATTCCCAAAACCCCAAAATCCCACGAAATCAACTACAGCTAGATCTCCTTCCGAGTAATAAGCAAACCATGGTATTAAGCTCCCAGAGCCATGAGCTCCCCTTTAATGAGAATGACTCACAAGACATGGTCATATATCAGATGATCAACGAGGCCAGTGCCCCGAATAGCAGTACATATAATATACTTCCGAGAAGCCAAATCAACACTCCAGGCATGCTCCAACCAGCGAGGACAGTCATAGCAAAGAAGCATTACCGGGGCGTGAGGCGTCGGCCGTGGGGGAAATATGCTGCAGAAATTCGTGACTCCACTAGACACGGGGCTCGTATATGGCTAGGCACATTCGAAACGGCGGAGGCGGCTGCCCTGGCTTATGATAGGGCTGCTTTTAGCATGCGTGGCTCTAAGGCCCTCCTTAATTTTCCAGCTGAAGTGGTGGCTGCTATATCAACTCAAAACTTTCAGCCAATTTCGAGCTCAACAAGGACGTCAAGTAAAAAAGCTATGGATTCATGCGGTAGCTCTAGCACAATAACTATTGCAACATCACAATCTGAATCAGAGAGCAGCACAAGTGGGGAGTCACGCCGTCAGGGGTCGGATATCCTCGAGAATTAATTACTCGCTTTTGCTTAATTTTGTTGAGATAGCGAGGGAAATCTCTGCCTGGAACGTTTTGAATCGTTCTTCTTTCTTTCTTTCTTTTTTGTCTTGTTTTTTTTTTTTTTTTTTTTTTTCGTTTTTGGGTTTTGTATATAAGAAGATGTCAGTTTGTATGGTTTTAGAGTGCATCAAATGCACAAATATAATTGCATCTTTCGAGTGTTATTTCGTAATAAGAATAGTGCCAGAAAGGCCAAGAGCAAAGAAGAGTTCTAGGGAACTAAATATTATAATTAATTCAACCTATCCCAAGATTTAAAGTTGTGATTAAAAATTAATGAAGTTCATACGCAGTGTGTAAAAATCCTAAAATCGGAAAACCACATGCCTGTCTTACTGTGGTTCAAATGTTAATTAATGTGGATGACCTGCCGAAAATGTGATTGCATCCAGGAATTATTAATTAATATCATTTGTGTTTAATATTCAGTTTTTTTTATAATTTTTATTTAAAAATACATCAAAATAATATTTTTTAACATCAATATAATAAAATAATATAAAAAATTGATTTAAATTTTTTTTTTTTTACAAAAACATCTTCGAATGATTTAATTTTTTTTTTTTTTACAAAAACATCTTCGAAACGCTACTTAATCTATCTATTCTCCCCCACATAACTGTGCAGGACTTTGATAATTAAATCAACCGAAACAAATTATCGAATTGAAAATGGATTTGTCAAAAAAACAAGCACTTCTTATGGAATTGGGATATGAGATGTGGTGACTGAGGTGGGCACATGATTTGGTGGCGTAAATGGAGGTGCTGAGGGTGGTCCAAGAGACCAGCTTTGGTGGCAAAATTGTTGGTGTAAGAATTTGTTTGTTTTTTTCCCTTTCTTTTATCATTTTTCATACAGGGCCATGCCTTTGACTGGTTCAATTCAATATTCCAATATCATGTGCATGTTATATATATATATATATATATATATATATATATATTGGGACATTGAACTTTTAAGGTTTTGAATAGCCATGTGATCGTGGAATATTACCTTCACACCACGTATAAAACATCCCAATTTCTTAAATTCCATGCTTGCAAAGATATTAGGGTCACGTCAAAATGGTCCAAGAATTGGTCGGCTAATTGTAGTGATCAAATTTGACCAAAAGTGCTGTAATCAATTATCGAATCGAATTTGAATCTTCCTTCAATTCTATTTCCCACCTGCCCTTCGATTTAGATTAAAGATCAGAATCAAGGCGTCGCTATCAGCGTATGAGTATTTCAGTTTGTTTCCCTTATTTGACTTCTTTTGGCCTGTAGGCCTTCCAGCTGCCACCCGCACCCAATATAAGCATTGAAGAGGTCAAGTGTAATTAATGAGGCAATAGTATATTTTTTTTGGTCTCTGCAATATCCATGGCATTATAATCTAGTTCCCGAGCTTTAAGAACCAATCCTCCCGTCCTTAAAGTTTACCTCGAGGGATGGATTGACGAGTAGTTTTTAGAGCACTAAGAGCTAACATTTTGACATGGGACGCTAGCTAGAGAGTTTAGGGAGCAGATGATAGATGAAAGTTCAAGAAAATAATAAGATAATATTTGAGAGAAATAATTTAATTAGTTAAATTTTAAATTTTTTTAAAAAATTATCGATTTAAATTCTGTAAATTTTAAAATTAATGAAAACTTCCATGATTTTTAATTTTAAAATTTATAAAATTGAGATATTATCAATTAAGCTAAATATTTATATTAATCTAAATAAAAAAAATTCAAGAAAACAACTTGGAGTGCAAGCATAAACTGTTGCTTTGTCGATAACTTCTGATCCAAGTATCTGGTCTGTGAAAATCTTACCAATTTAAAACGCTGATTCAGTGGCGTAAAGCGTGGCAATGACTATAAAGCCATCAGATGCCTTATCGAAGTTAGGATCCATTTCGAAGTTCTACTTCCAGACCTTTTAGTGAACCAAACCTCTAGATCTAGACCATACTGCGCTTAATTAGAAAAATTATAGCTTGTATCTAAATATCCTTTTTTATTTTAGTATAAACCTCTAGATTTATTTCATGTTAGGCCCTTGGTCATCGAGAACAAATTTTATATCTCAGAATTCTCAAACCTGTAAGTTTTCTTCAACAATTTTAACTATTTTTTTTAGGGTTTTGAGGGCAATATACGCTGTTCTTTTTTTATATGTCGTGTCACTTCTGATTTCACTCAAAATCAATTCTCCAAGAAAGTGTACAAAAGTTTTTATCTTAAATTTGACAGAGGAGGCCTTCAGCTTAATTTGTTTTTGGTGGACAACTCTACAACTTCTAGGTCTTTATAAATACAGAACTTCTTGGGCCTCCTTTCCTCATCGACAAAATGGAATATTCATTGCTTCATTTACATCCGTTAGTCATTTCTTTTATCTTATTTAATCTTTTCATAATCCTCAAATATGGTATATAGAGCATCACAATATTGTTGCAACTAGTTTTTTACCCTCATTTTCCCAAACCTTTTCAAAAAATAAAATAAACTAACAGAAATAATAGATACAAAATTTTAAAAAAATATATATTTTTGGTGTAATTCCGTCAATCTACAAGTATAGCCCTCTTCCCAAGTAACTGAAAATAAGATGTAAGAAAGGAGAATATAAGAGAAGAAAGGAGAGCAATAATAATAATAAAATAAATAAAAATAAAATGAAACAAAAAGATTGGTGAGTGAAATAAATAATTAAAAAAAAAAGAGGGAACAAAATGACCTTAAAATTATAGCCCTCTTCCCAAGTAACTGAAAATAAGATGTAAGAAAGGAGAATATAAGAGAAGAAAGGAGAGGATATAAACAAATATAAATAAATACAAAGGAACACACACACACACTCACACAATAAAGGAGAAAAGAAAGAAAGAAAAACAATCATTCTCTCTAAAAAGAAATGACTAGTTTAAAATAGAAAAAATTAAAAGGAAAAATCACAATAGTTATCTCTCCTTTCACCTTGCCGAAGTCCGGCAGCCATCATTCTCTCTTTGTTTTTTCTTTTCTTCTAGTCAATCCATTACTGACCGCCATATCCTCCAACCAAAACAAAGCACACTAATCCGAAACATCTACAAATCAAATATACTTTCCCTTCTCTCATCAAGCGACTACCACCATCACTAATCATCCACTGTTCATCCTTTTCATTGCCATTTTCCAAACCCTCACGCTGTTAAAACACTCAACACAACCCAAATCAATGTCCTCTTTCTAACCGAGCCAGTTCAACCCACCCTTGAACCTTTCTTGAACCGACCTCCACCTGAATCACACCACCAGGTCATTGTGGACCTGAATCATGCACATCACCAACGATATTAGTAAAAACCTAACACATAAAAAAACTTGTTTGAAATGGAAGTAGAAAAAGGGCTTAAACCTCTGATCATATTGGGAAAAGTGTGAATCACTGTTAGTGGTAACCAGTGGAAAGGGATTGAAAGCTTAAATTTCTAGCAATTGTTTGCAGGTTTGGTGCCCGCGTCCCACATTCACCGCCGTCCCACATGCGGCAAACATGCCAGCGCGTCCAGCACATATGCCACCACTATGTACCAGTTCCTGTTCCAGCAGTGTTCCAGGTAAAATAGCTTTCCCTCCTGTGACTCGTTTTTATCTTTTCTTAGTTTACTCTTATCCATTTTCAAGACCAAAGTTTATCGAAATGTCCCATGCCACACACATTATAGGAAGATTAAAAAAGATAGAACGTATGGCTAATGAACCTATAAGCAACAAGCTGTTCATTTGTGCATCAAGCTCCTTCCTCAGGTATAAGGCATTATAAATGGTATCAAAGCCATCCCTAGTTTACTGTGGCAACTAATTAAGACCTAAGCGAGACAGAGTGCTACATCTTCGTACAGGGTGGAAGACACCTCTTGAACCCAAAGCAGCCGCCTCTAGAATCCTACAGTGTTCAGGGCTCGATCATGGACTATGATTGTAGTGCGATGGGGACATGACAAACTTAAGAAGGTAGAAAAATGTCATGTCCTATATCTCACATCTAAACATTATTGGGAGATTGGGTAGATAAAAGGTATGGTTAAATATGTTCAACAAGGAATATTTTTTTTATGGGATATGAGGATAAGAGGCCTTATTAGTGCTATACTTGTAGACATAGAAGCTATTCATTTAAGCACCAAACCTCTCCCTCGAGTTTGGGTGCATTATAAATGATATTAAAGCTGAGCCTAGCCATGTGTGGGAACCATGTCCCTTACGGAACAAAATGCTCTACCTTTGTACAGGATGAGAGCTACCTCTTGAATTACCCGTAGAAGCCGCCTCTAAAATATTCCTACACTTTCTGGGGCTCAATCCAAGACAATGGTTGTGGTATAACGGGGACATTAATTACACACTTAAGAGGGAAAAAATGCGATGCCACATATTCCATATCTAAGAATTATGACGAGATTGAATAAAACAAAAGAAATGACAGGGAAAAAAAGCGATGCCACATATTCCATATCTAAGGAATTATGACGAGATTGAATATAAAACAAAATAAATGGCTAATTTATCCATCTAGAAAGAGGAAAACAAACTGTCCAGGTAGTCACTCCCCAGGTCCTGAAATTCTACCACGTCGAAATCATCCACAGACAATTCTTCTACGCAAGCCATTCTCTGAAGTCCAGGTTGTTCCATAATTATCAAATCATTGTTCACTTCCCAATCTCTTGATACCCTTCTTCTAGGGACCACTGAAACTTTGTCACCGCTTCCCAGAATTATGCAAGACGTGTCATACCCTTGTGAAGTTGTGGTAGATGAAACACTGTAGTCATTTTCGGAGCAGTCAATGCCCATTGCCTTGGCTACTGTTTCAAGTGGGAAGTTGAGGTATGTCTTGGGGCCTCTAATTCTCAAAGCAGCCTTATCATAAGCCAAAGCTGCTTCTTCAGCTGTTTTAAAAGTTCCAAGCCAGACTCGAGCTCCTTTTCTCGAAGAGTCCCTTATCTCTGCTGCATACTTGCCCCAAGGCCGCCTCCTTACTCCCCGGTAGTGTCTGGTAGTCACTTTCTCTGTTTTCACAGTATTCTCTTCTGAGCTTAGGCTGCTGGGGCCTTTGTTTTCTTCTCTATCATTGGAAGTAAGTTCTTTATAGTTTATTTCAGGAATGATTCCATCAAGAAGTCCCTCCCAGGACTCTGTACCCATCGATATCCATCTGCCTAGACTTGGTAGCCTTTCGAGAACCTCCTTTGACCCATCTCTACTATCAAGACTAGGCAATTCCTGCGATGATTTAAACTCTTCTTGTTCGTCATGGCTTGTTACTTTGTCTCCTCTATGTTCTCCAATGTAGCTTGCCCAAACATTCTCTAGGATTCCTTCAGATGTTGCACGATGATCACTTTGTATAGCCATGTTGTCATTTACATAACAAACAAAAGCTAGCTAATTTAACACAAACAAAAGAAAGGGAGGATGATTGGAAAATGTTAAGAAATATATAAAAGGTCACGCGTAATCTGTTAATTAACAGCTAACCTAACCTAATCCCACTACATTGATGGGATTCTAATCCAATGGGAAACTTGTGCTTTAATCCACTGAACAGCTAAAGTTTTGGAGGATAATAGAATTTGAACACTAAGAAAGAGGTGGATTTGTGTATTTTAAGGCTTCTCTGTTGACTTGTGTGCATGCATGTCCTAATCATTTGCTAGGATTTATCTGTGTACGCCCTGTGTGCTCTACATATTTTATTGGAAAGCCTTCCAGTAGTTCATGATCAATTACACGAGAGACGGAATTAAAGGATTTGAAAGCTGGCAGGAGAATCTTCTGAGTTTTATATTGCTCTTGCTTTGCTGCATCTTATATATAGAATACAAGGAACAACAAAAATTAAATAAGGAAATTTGTGAATAAAAATAAAATTTAGGGACCATAGTAAATTGTTTTGAAAATTATAGTGACTTATAAAGAGAAACTTTGTCAAGACCTCCATCACTTTACTTCAAGATTTGAAGGAAAAAAAAATGTAATAAATCATCTCATTACATTACACATTTGATTGCATTACATTACAAGTTACCAAACATAAAAATTTGTCTTAGATCTAAAAATTGTTGAAACACCTTTACTGGCCATTTCTTATCCCAGATGGGGACTGAATCATTTCTTACATTACATTACACATTTGTTTTAGTTCAAGCATTCATTTCTTATCCCAGATGGGGACTGGGCCATTTCTTATACATTACACATTTGTTTTAGTTCAAGCATTATTTGGAGATAGTTGCTATATTATTACACCAACTTTAAACCTCTTTTATTAGAGTGTATGAAATGTTTTTTCAGTATATCGATTCTTTCAGAATTTTCAATCAAACACTTCTGTCCTTCTATTAATTTTTCTTTTATCTAATGACGTGTTATTTTCCCTTAAAATGCTCCAACTTTCATTTTATTTCATTCAAATACTTTAAAAAATCATGTTCCCGCTGAGATTCCTAGTTTACAGGTCCTCTCCAGGCATTCCTTTTCGTCTCAAATCTTACCACTCGGATGCCACATTGGAGCATTCTTTATCTCTTGATTATTTACCAGGAATACTGAATACATAAAGAAGTAACTCCATGAGCCAGATGCTACCTTTTTAATTATTGATCTGAAGGCTTCTGTATAGAAAGCGTTTTGCTGCAAACTTTTCTAACTGTTATAAAGGTTCTGTATAGAAAGGTTCCTCCAAACTAATTGTGAGAGGAAAATATCATATGCTTGCAACAGTAAGGATCTTGAACACAGTGATGGTCAAATAGCCTAAGCTATTAGGTTATGGGGCCATCCTTATATAGAAACACTGAAGCTTCTTCTTCTTCTTCTTCTTCATTTTATCTTTAATTCAGAGTAAATATTAAAGTTTTATGTGCTGGTCTAGTCGTCGGCTTTGAAAACAGACCTCCCATCTAAATTACACTACAGGACCAAGAGGGATAGAGCAACAGCTGGGCATAAGAGAAAGAAAGAAAAAATAGAATCACACGCTTGGGACATCAACATTCGACATCAACATTTGAACCTAGAAGGAAGTTATGTACATGCTTGTAACAGAAGCAGCAGTAGGTTCTACACAGATTCAATGCATTGGAGTGAGAAAACTTATAATATTAACTGCAATGTCAAAGGGGTGCGTCAGAATCAGCCGCCCCAGGAATATTTTAGAGCCTAGTATGCTTAATCAATTTAACTCTTTTGCTTCTTTCGTACGTACTGAAATGATCTCACATCCTTGCAAATTAGTCTTTGAGAGTTGGGGTTGCTGTGAAGTGTGTTTTTTAAAAACACTCTTTGTTAATTTTAAACTCTTTGTTTATAAACTCTCTTGTTCTTAGTTATTTTTAAAATATTTTTTTATTTAATATATATATATATATATATTTGTAAAAAATTATTTTTAATATAGTAATTAATATGAATTTAAAAACATAAAAAATATTAATTTTTTCAAAATAAATATTTAATTTTTAAAAAATATTTTTAAAACGTAAAAATAAATAGAATCACTTGAGGGTTTCTTTGAAAGTGTGGTTGCGGTTGGTTTTCAAATAACTTTTTGTGCCAAAATATATATTAATAATTTTTTTATTTTTTAAAAATTATTTTTGATATTGACACATCAAAATAATTTGAAAACACTAAAAATATATTAATTTGAAGTTAATAAAAAAATAAAAAATTTTTTTTTTTTTTTCAAAATTGCTTTTGAAACGCAGAAACAAACAGGCCCTATACACATATTTGTTGGGTCCCATTTTTAGTATGTACCTTAATTTAGGATTTTTTTTTTATTTTTCAATCCAAATTATGAGAATTATGAGGTTGTATAGGTATTTAGTTGAAAAAAGTAAAGTGAAAATGAAAATAAAAATAAAAAGTGTTCAAGAAAATTAAAGATAATTTTTCTCACAAGGAAAGATAAGAATAAAAACAAGAATATAAATTAGTTTATTTTTTTAAAATGGTATATTTTTATTTATTTTTTTATTACATATTAACCATTTTTACCATTTTTACCCCTTTAACCATTGCACTACCATCATCATGATAGTTAAAATTGTAAAATTCCACATCAACGGATAAAAAATTGGTTGTTAATTTTATTAATAGTGTTGGTCGCTGATTTATTATAAATATTTTAAGATATTAGGCTTAGCGATAGGCTTATGTCACCAGAAATAAAACTAGGAGGACAAATGATCCCAAATGAATAATATAAAATAGATTAATTGAGCCATTATAAAAACATCAATTGTTTTGTTAAAAAAACATTATTATTATTATTATATTATATTCTACTATCATTTCCCCACCACCTCCAATAATAGTAACATAACTTTTAAAATATATTATCGTTATTACTGTAATATTATCACTATCTTACAATTTACTTCTCCTTCTCAACCATCTATTATTATTATTGTATCTTGTTTTACTATTATTTTTCCACCACCTTCTCCTATAATATTGACATAACTTTTAAAATATATTATCATTGTTATTGTAATCTTATCACTATGTCACAATCTACTTCTCCTTTTCAATCATTTTCACTAGTATTACAACAATCACCTTTATTATTTGTATTGTCATGAATATTTCTGAGATTATTTTTAATTTTTAATTATTTTATTTCAGTCTGATAACACTTTTCCTCTTACATTTAAAAAATTACTTTGATTAAAAGATAAAAATGTCCTTGTATATTCACAACCTATATCTCAAAAATATAATTCTTTTTTCCTCTCTCTTTAATTAAAATCTCATCTCCCCCTCTCTCTCAAAATCTATCAAAATTTACATAAAATCTACACTTTATAATTAAATTTATCGTCAATTTCGTACTAGAAATAGGAAATAAAAATCAAACACTATAATTATCTATTAGCATACAAATCCGTGTTTTATTAAACAAAATCACGGCAAAATGAACCCATCTATAAATAAATAAAACCATGAATAATTAAAAAAAATTCTATAAAAAAAAAGGGAGAGCCTAGGAAAAAAAAAAGTAAATCCCTAATTAAATATGCTATAAATAAAATTAGGCGTTGTGGTTTTGTTTGCACATCTGGTTGGTGGCGAGGAGATGGACTAGTTCGAGTTTGGATAATGGCTATTGATGGCTGAAGAATGGTGGTTACTGTGAAGGGTTACTAGTGATTTGAGTTTGTTTGATTTTGCTGTTATGGTGGTGGAAACGAAGGCATAGCTATATGCTATCCTAGATTTGATGGTTGGGTTGTGTTAGTCTCAGTTTTGTCACAGCTTAGATGGTGGTTTTGATGGTGGAGAAAATGGCTAGGTTTGGTGGTGGGGAAGAAGATGCGGCTGAGCTGTTTCTATTGGTACTCTTATGACGCCTTTTATACTCACTTGACATTCTTTGTTGAATCAGAGATTGATAATATATGAATAAAAGAAATATGGGATTAAGGTTGAATTATATCCTATATATTCTATTGTGTTTTTTATTTTCTGAGCTAATTTGGATTTGTTTTTCTATTTTCTTCTTCCACTTATAAAGGCACTTTGGGTAAATATTCTTGCAAATAAAACTAATTTCATTCCTTATGTAAAAAAAATATATTTTTTAATATAGAAGGAAAAATATTACTTAAACCTTAGGAGGTTTAAATTAATTTTTCCTAATTTTTTAAATTCTTTATTATTATTCCAAAAATAGTATTAGAATTAAAATGTCATTCCGATTCCTCTATTTTCATTTTGAACCTTTCATGCTTGCAATAAGTTCAGCTTCACCACGGGCTTGTAATAAGTTCACCTTCGTGATATATGGACATGCTGTGCCTTGTTCATCCACCATTTTATATTCTCATAATACATTCTTCTTCGCCGAGAAATCATCTCTTCAGCAAAACAAAATCACCTTCGTTATATATAAGGATTCTTTGTGAGTTGGACTAACTGAAAAAAAAATTAAAAAAACTTTGAAAAACTGTCGAGTCGAGAAGGAACCGGCTCTAAAAATAAAAAATCAAATGGGGCAGATTGAATTAGACTAACCTCGACTTAAAATTAAAATTAAAATTAATTGACCAACTTCACCAGGTCAAATAAAAAACAACAAACCTGAACTTGAAATTAAAATTAGGTTAAATTAGAGGTGACCAAGATCAAATCAAAGAAAACCAATCTCAATTTAAAATTAAAACCAAGTCAAATCTAAAATCACCAACCTTATTGAGTCAAATCAAAAGCGACCAACTAACTTGATTGTGGAATTTTGAAATTTTTGCCTTTTCTTTTAGAAAACTTGTTGGAGTTTTCTGAGAGTCAAGAGTAAAAAACAACATTTGTAAGTCTTTTGAGAAGGAAAATATCTTTATGCACAAGTATATATTTCAAGATTCAAGTGCGGGGAATTTTGCAAGAGTGGTGCAACAATAATAGACAATAGAAATTAGATAGAGAGTCGGATGTTCACTTGGTAGAAATATGGATATTTCTTTCGAGGTTTAGCTTCCCTATTGACAATTAAATTAATCTACTACTTTCATCTTGATGTCTTCACACCACTAAGCTCACTAGCCTGCCCAAGTTTGCTTGGGTACAATATTCACCCAAATATCTGCGTTGTTGTTGTTGTTGTAATTCAATTTGACAAGCGCGCACATACAAACACATATATAATAAATATCTGTCCAAGTTTGGCTGCAATTGGACTAATATTTGAATATCACGAGTAAGAATAAAGTTTGAAAATTTTTAAGTCATAATTAACATCTGAATTAAAGAGAAATGGGATTAAATTGGTTTCATTTATCTAAAATCTAAAATTGAGAGAAATTAAAATTCGAGGATGAGTTGAAACAATTAGCCCAATTATAATATTAATTAAGGGTTTAATTGAAAGAAAAATTTAAAATTTAAAGTTAATTTGACTTAAAAATAAAGAATTAGAGGATCAGAACTAAAATAAATAACGTGGATAATTTAGAGGTAGATTTTATTTCGGTCAAGGGCTGAATCGGAAAACAATTAGAAAAAAAATGATGGAAATGAACCAAAAATAATAAATTGAAAGACCAGGAATCAAGGAGCAAAATGCACTGAAATGGAGGGACTATGATGGGGTTTGGTGAAATTAAATCAGAGATGAAACCTAATTCTGTTGGGGGGAAAACGAGGTCGTTTCACTCTGAGTGAAATGGTGAGTTTTACTTAAATTAGAGAACAGACCGTTGAAGTTTTGAAGGAAACAACACTATTTTGTTCATGATCTTTGCAGGCTTCTGGGCAAAATGGTAGAAATGGCTACTTCTCAAGCCAATTAAAGGCTTCATATTGGTTCAACTAGAATCTATTGGTGGCATAAAATTAAAGAAACGTGTTTTCTAACATGTTAGCTACAATCTCGGTGCAATAAATTAGAGTTTGACTTTTGGGCAAAAAGGTAGAAATGCCTGCTTCTCACGCTAATTAAGGACTTGATGTTGGTCCAAATTGAATCTATTGGTGGCATAAAAATGAAAGAAACGTGTTTTCTAACATGTTAGATACAATCTTCGTGCAAGAAATCAGAATTTAACTTCCAATATTCACTACAGATTCTGAGCCGAACATGCCCATTCAATCAGCCTCCCTCCAAGACCAGCAATCATCTTTTTCATTTTGATGTAAGATTTATCTTTTAAAATTTGATGCTCTCTCTATGAGTCAAGCAAAGAGCATCTTCTCTTATATGTTGGCTACAACCATGATACAAGAAATCAGGTTTTAATTCTCAGAATCAGTTACATATTTCATGCCAAACATACCCCCTCAATCAGCTTAGCCTTCCATTTTGATTCAAGATTCAAATTTCAATCTCTGATTCAAGAAAAGAAGGATTGATGGTAAACGTATAAACAAGTTCCCAATATAGAATCCTATTAAGAGCAGGGATTTGTATTCTCTTATAAAAGGATTAAAATGCACCTATAAAAAGGGAATCCAACAGCACACAGAAAGAAAAGAAAACTGGAGAGAACTCTGGAGAGAAGAAACCCGTGAGAAGAAAGGAAAAAAGACAGTGGAACAAAATAAGTTAGTGACAAGAAGAGGAGAAGAAAGGACAAGGCAGCATAAGTTTCTTTTACTGCTACAGTTTCTCTTCTAATTCCAGGTCTGTGCAAGTCGTCCTTTGTCTTAGCAGCTTGTAAAAACCATGACCAAATTACTCTGTATTCTTCTTTATATTTGTTAGATGA